CGGAGCACAGGCTCCGGACGCGCAGGCTCAGTGGCCATGGCTCACGGGCCCCGGACCGGGGCACAAACCTGTGTCCCCTGCATCGGCAGGCGGACTCTCGACCACTGCACCACCAGGGAAGCCCAACATCATGTTTCTTAACTCACAATAGCACCCCGCACCTCCCTGCTGCTTCTCTCTGTAATTCCATCAAGAATGGCTCTCAGCTAGTATGTGTGTTATAAATGGTCTCATACATTTTGTTACACCAATATGCTACTGTCACAAAGCTCTCTATATTTTACTTTAAAAAGGAAACACCTTTTAACCAAAAGGGTTGTATGTCTAATACTAGCACTTCAGTCACTAGTAAAAAGGTGAATAGAAACATAGCGGACAGGATTGGTGCCTCAAGTCACTGGCAACACCACGTCCTTGTCCTCAGGTTAGACTTGAGGCTTTCATCATTTCCGTGCCACACTCACTGGTGAATTTTAGGATCATCAGAAACTTTCAGTCCTTTAATGTAGTAGTAAAATTTTAAATGTACTTAAAAAAAATCTAATTAATCATCTTTGCTCTATGACATGTATTTTTCTAAATAGCAAGATTTAAAATAATAAATGATATGGAAAAGTTGAGGATTAGAAATGTATAGTTAATTCTTCAATCCCATTTTTTAAATGGGATGGTAAATGACATTTTAGAAGATATAATCAACCAGAATTATAATCGGAAAAAAGGAGAGACTAAACCTCAGTGTGTGCTTAGTCTGTGTTTGAGGCCTACCCAGTACTTGTTCCCTCCTTTTAACTCTCAATTGTTATCAAGTAAACATCGACATGGCCCACACGCCCATGTGTTGCCACAGGTGATGTGGATAACTTGGAGAAAAAGGTGGATGTTCCTATTCTAATACGTTTGCTCCTTTTTAAAGTCAGCTCTACTGAGGTAAATTTAAATATAATAAAAATCACCAATTTTGAGTTTGCAATTAAATGTGTTTTGACAAATGTACATAGTTACAGAACCATCATAACCATGATATAGAACATTTCTATCAACCCCAAAGTTCCTTCATGCCCATTCCCTACCTCCAGGTCCTAGAAACACTGACCAGTCACTCTATTGTTTGCTTTTCTAGAATTTCATGTAAATGAAATCATAAAATATGTCTTTGGTACCTGGCTTCTTTAAGCATACTGTCTTTGAGATTTACCTAGGTGTCATATGTAACAATAGCCTTTTATTACTATTTTATTACTACTATTGCTAGTATTCCATTGTAAGGCTATACCATGATTTGTTTATCTATTTAGCAGTTAATGGATATTTAGGTTGTTTCCAGGTTTTAGCTATTATGAATACATCTTTCAGCCTTATTTTAATAACAACCAAGAGATTCTTCTTTACTGCCATTGCTTTTATCCCAATTTGTAAAATATGGTAACTATAAGTTTTGTTAAGTGAGATCATCAATATTTTGAGTAAGAAATGAATGAAAACCATTTGGGGAAGCCTGGCCCAGCTATCCTTTACAAGGCTCTCACACCCAGCTGGAATTGACTTATTTTTCTAAGCTTTAGTAGTTTTATTCCCTAGTACCTTTCTTGTGGTATATTTCACCTTTTACCTTCTGTGTTGGCCATTTTGAATCCCCTATTGGGACAATGACTATGCCATATTTATGTATCTTTGTTTGACCTGTGCCTAACAGAGTGTCTTTCAGAGTTATGTTAAATATTAAATGAATTGGTTTGGATTCTTCTCTGATCACTTCCTTGGATAACTAAGTGATTTTTATTAATTCTTTCAACCCATTATTGCATTACCTGTAGGGTGTTATAAAATACGTTTCCTAAATCAAAATATTGCAAATCCCACCTCTGCCTTTACAGCATTTACAGTAACCTTTGAGCAGATTTCTAATTCTTTTTGACCCTCCTTTTTTTTCTTTTTCCAACTATAATGTGAGAGGATTTGATTAAACAAATTTGAGATTCCTTCTCAGTTCTAAAATGTTAAGGTTTTATAAAAAACCTGCTAAGTCAGAAAGAACCTGCAAGGTGAGAGGGCAACATAGAAGGAAAGGGGTATATAAAGAAGGTAAGAAAGCAAAAATATGTCGCGTTTTTATGCAATTGAAAATGAAATGTGTAGTTTCTTTAACAGAGTAAAAGTTGGGCAAGGATTCAAGAAACAAAAGTTGATGTGTAACAACATTTGTTGGTAGAACATTCTTTTAAATTGTTTTATAAGGAGAACTACAATAAGACAGTAGTCCTTTTCTCTAGTAAAGTTAGGAGATCAGTAATTAGGTTCCTCATTCTGAAAATTACTGGTGAGACTGGCAGCCCCTTTGTGTAAGTGAACCATAAACCCCAGTTTACAAAGGGTAGTCCCAGTTATGACTGTTTGTCTTGGTATAATTACTTATTATTAATTATTAATAATGCCCGTTTTCACTCTCAAATGGGTATTGGTTTTGAACAATGCATTTTTTGGTCACCCGATTACTGGGGATCTCAGAGTCCTAGGTCTCCCAACCTATATCCCCTGCTCTAGCTAGGGTTCTGTCTCGGGGATGGTTACTCAGTGAAAGAATCTGCAGTGCTCTCTTCAAGCTAACCCCTTCAGCGGCAGCATCGCCATCTGGCAACACCATTAGAGCCGTTCTCTTCCATACACTCTTCTCTCTTTTTTTTCACGTCTGGAAAGTTTTTGCCTCCTCATATAAGACTTGAGCAGATTCTGCAGCTTCACTTAAAGACTGCAGCCTTCTTTCCCCTATGGCAAGTATATAAGAACATCCGTTCATTAAACATTCACTGCCCGCTTCCTGTGTGCCATGTACTGAGCTGGGCTCATGGTATAGAGAGACAAAGATGGCAGAAAGGGACAGACAAGTAAACCAATAACCAAAGTGTGATAAATGCTATCTTTGTAGGATGCATATATACACAACATATACTGATGTCACTGTAGAACAGTTAATTTAGGAGAGAGGGGAAAGAGAGGAGGGGAATTTTGAGCAGGTCCTAAAGGAGCAGTATACATTGAGCAGGGGTGACGGGTTGGTGGGAGGCAGAGAGGGGTGAGGTGGGCGGGGGGAAAAAACATCCCAGCAAAACGCAGAGACGGGCTTCCCTGGTGGCGCAGTGGTTGAGAGTCCGCCTGCCGATGCAGGGGACACAGGTTCGTGCCCCGGTCTGGGAAGATCCCACATGCCGTGGAGTGGCTGGGCCTGTGAGCCATGGCCACTGAGCCTGCGCGTCCGGAGCCTGTGCTCCGCAACGGGAGAGGCCACAACAATGAGAGGCCCGCATACCGCAAAAAAAAAAAAAAAAACAAATAAACAAAAAAAAAACCCGCAGAGACATGTGCAGCTTTCCATGGCCAGAAAATATGTGGAATGACTGGGGAGGCAAAAAGTGGCCTCGACGGACCATCCATGTGTTGCTGTATACCAGTTTGGAACTGAGTGTGAGGCAAGACCTTGGAGCAAGTCCACGGGGTGTTGTTACTAGAAGTACCAGAAGGGACCTTATTTCACATTTAGCGTGGCCCTCTGATGATCCATTTGATTGAGGTGTGGGTGTATTTTCATTTTGGAATTTTGTACTACAACATTACCACATTCATTGACCTATTACAATGCAGACTTTCCTTATGTTGCTTTATGATTAGAAGCCAGTGATTTGAAGTTCCACAGCAGTACATAGACTAGTAGTGATAGCTTTATGGAATTGTTTATTTTTAGTTTGGCAAGACAAGACAGTAAATACCTCAATTAGTAAAGTAAAGCAGCATGGATGAGAAATGCCCACAAGAAGATTAGGAGTTAGAAATAACTAAGCCAGTTAATTGAAGGAAACTTTTATATCACTTACCCATATTTAGAGAATAAAGAACCAACCTAATGTGTGTATGTGTGAGTGTGTGTGTGTTTGTGTGTATGTGTGTGTGCTCACACACATTGTCATTATCCACAGTGGTGCCAGTGACGAGGTCCTTTGCATTCTTCAGGTTCTAATTGTTTAGGAAGTTTCTCTCTTTAGGAGCCACTGTGATTGGATATTGACCCACCCACTGGTCAATATCCAGTCACAGTGGGGTGAGATACATCGTCTTTGACTACAGAAGCTCCTCATCCTGCAGTTTCCTTCAGTGTGACCCAAAAGGGATCTTATTATGAAGTGCTGGGAGAAGTTTTTTATTTTCATATTTATATCCACATTACATGGCCTAATGTGTGAAAATATTTAATGAAAACATGCATGTGGTACTGCAGAATCATTTACTTGCCTCCAGATAGAATCTCCTACATTATATTTGAGGTTCCGTTTTAAGCTTGGGAGGAAAAGCAGAGGTGATCTACAAAACTTAGTTTCAAGAATTTAAGTTTTGGGTGTATTGAGTCATGCTCTTCCTGTAACTTCAGGATCTTTAGGAAATATTGACCATTCAAAAGAAAAAAGATGGGCTTCCCTGGTGGCGCAGTGGTTGAGAGTCCGCCTGCCGATGCAGGGGACACGGGTTTGTGCCCCGGTCCGGGAAGATCCCACATGCCGCGGAGCGGCTGGGCTCGCGAGCCATGGCTGCTGAGCCTGCGCCTCCGGAGCCTGTGCTCCGCAACGGGAGAGGCCACAATAGTGAGAGGACCGTGTACCGCAAAAAAAAAAAAAAAAAAAAAGATTAATTGGCGGTACGTAACATTGAGAATATTATAGAGAACGGTGTTTGTGTTTTAAAGTTACAAAATAGCATTATTCAGCTGTCATGATTTTTTGATTTTTAAAGTTGCTTACTTTAGTCAATTTAGATTTATGGCAAGTATTTAACATTGTATGAAAGGTCCTTTGGAGTTTCTGCCTAAAGTAAGGGGGAGTCTGTAGAAAGACTGTTGTCTACTTATGCTTAACAATTTACTACGTATCAGCTCTCTGTGGTCTGTAGGGGAAATGATGGGGATTAGTGCATCTGTAGTTTAAATTTCTGTCTGTCTCCTCTCTGCCTTGTAGGCTGGAAAAAGATAGCATTCAGCAGAGCTTTAGCAACGATGCAAAGGCCCAAGCCCTTCAGGCCCAGCAAAGAGAGCAGGAGCTGACACAGAAGATACAGCAAATGGAGGCCCAGCATGACAAAACTGGTAGGTGGTAGGGAAAGATTAGAGCCTGGGCACTTGCTCACAAGCCAGGCCCACGCCTTACTGTGAAATGACATCAGGAACACCTGTAACCTTTGGCTGGCCGAAGGGAGCAGATGCTAACTACACCGGAGATTCCGAATTACATATTAGTTAGCGTTTAAAAGAGAAAATGGAAAGTATTGCCCACTGTCTGTTGATTTCAGAGTGCTGCTCTCACATCTGTTGCACCATCTGGATTATGAGTTTATTTACCTGTGTTCAAGAAACGTAAAGCTGAGAGAGACCACAACAAAGTAGAAAAACAAAGGGCTTGTTTTTGGCTGGGTTTTCAGGCACACATGTTATATAAAGAAAATAGCATCAGAAGCTCTGCGGGAAATGCTCTGAGCTTACAGTTAGAGCCTCCTGAATAGCATTGAACAGTTCCCACAGTACACACATTATAGCTACTCTAAAAGCCTAATGAGTTTGCTTCAGCATCCAAACTGGAGAAAAGCTTTAGCCATTAATCGGTTCTTAATTCACTGTCGCAGCTGGATGTAATTCAGTGGCTCCAAATTGATATGTTCCTTTATTTAATCTTTGCAGCTTCGAACATTTTTAGCATTTGTATGATTTCCCCACCTCCCCCAACCCAGTCTAGAGTGATGTTTAATCCTTTGCATTCTTCAAGTTCTCACAACTGCTGTTAAAATTCACTAATACAAGGCATTGACCACAGCTGGCAGCTTGGCTAAAAATTGCCATCTTTCATCACATTGGCACTATTCTGCAGACTGAGTTGGCCAGTAACTCTTTACCTTTAATTTGAAAGTAAAATGCACTTTGAAAATAGGCAGTTTGATTTGTTCAGTCGGAGCATTATGTAGTTCCTTTCACTTTTGAGTTGTGTGTTCACAGACAGTGTTAGTCAAAACAAGACAGTGTCAGTCATTATAATTCCACACCACATACACCAAGCTGATTGTACTATTAAAACAAAAGTTTAATTGATCCTGTTTCTTCCAGAAAAATGTTGATTAATTTTTAGTGCCTTGATTTATTTTGCTTTGTATGCTATATGCTTTTTTGTCAGTCATTGTCTAAAACTGAAAAGAAAGGGCCTGTTAAACTTTTCACCTAAAGATAATTTTCATGTGATTTGATGTATACTATATTTGATGACATGGTAATAAATGGTTGCTTATCCTGTAAGTGAAAAATTGCTAATGTAAAATTCATTAAATAATCTGTTTGCTAATAAAGAGGCAAATGTCATATTGATCCACATAATTCACTCCATCACTTTCAGTAGAGATTTTCTTCTCACAGTGTTTGGCCAGAAGAAATGAAAATTCTCCGGGCTTGGTAGTTGTTTTTCCACTAAAAACAAAAGGAGAAGATTACAGGATGAATTATTGTTTGCCTCCACTACCAATAGGATGCCAGTGATCAAGGAGTCTTGGGCAGTATCTCTGAGTGCTAGATAAGAGTATTAACTGAACCACCATGAGAATACTTCCTTTTGTTTTGCACAAAAATACATACTCTCTTCAGTTTCTTTGATCAGATCTTCGTTGAAGCTCACACTAAATAGATGGGGAAAATTATTTATTTCCAATAAAATAAGGAAAGTTATGTATTTTTCTTTTATGATTAGAGAAGTATATGCAAGATGGGAGTAGTGAAATATGTGAGCAGATATGAAACATAAAGCATGAATTACAGTGTAGAAAGAGTTCCTCAATTATTTTAGTTTTGAATTATCTGGTTGTGATAAATTTGACACTGTTTATAGTAGAATTATCAAAATAAAAATATATTGCATATTACAAAGATATAAGCATCTATGACTCCACTTGAGGTATTTGACAATTTATTAACATGTTAAAAATTACACAAAGCTGATATGATCAGAAATGTTTCTGTTGTGTAATTATTAGGGAAATAAATATCTCACAAGATTTAGTGTCTTGCCAGATGAGCATTCCTTTGACCTAGGACCATAAAAGTGATCTAGCGTCTTATAGGAAAAGTGTGGTTGTCTTAGCACTTTTACCACTATACATGTGGAAGCACTGCAGAGCTACAACCATAAACATCTTATGTTGCTGGGGGGGGGGTTATTGTTATTTCTAGAAAATGAACAGTATTCATTGCTGACCTCCCAGAATTCATTTCTGACAAAGTTAAAGGAAGAGTGCTGCACATTAGCCAAGAAACTGGAACAAATCTCTCAGAAAAGCAGGTGGGTAATATAATACAATACTTTCAGAGCACTGTTTATATGAATACTGTAATTTTTTTCTTAAAGGACAGTATTTCCACTATTTTATAGTCTAATGTCAAAATTAGATATGTATTGACATATTTCCTGTAAAAAACATTTTCTCTCTATGAGAATTTTCTTAATTATCCATACAGACACCTTGATGTTTTTTCATAATTAGGTATCCATACTATAATTTGACTTTTTTAATGTTCAGAATTGAAAACTATGAAATTTCAGAGCACAAAGGTCAAGATGGCATCCTTTTAATAAAGGATGCAGATAAATCAAGCAGTTCTAAAGTCATATTTTAACACAGCTAACATATTTTAGTCTATTATCATAGTTCTCCATGAACACATAAAAGCTGTCTTTAAGGCAAATGATAATGGATAAAATATGAATGTATAAAAGTAGATGATACTTTGAAATAAACCAAAACCATCTTTTCTTTCTCCTAAAATTGTTTTATTTTAATAAAATAGCCATCATTGATTTTGTAGGTACATGCTCTTTTATAAATCCACTGATTGGGTTATTAATGAATTTTTTTCTGTACATTTTCTAATCATATTATCTCAATAAATGAATTACTTATATTCTAAATTCTAAGAAGCCTGAGTTCTCGTCTTAGCTCTGGCAGTAGCTGTGTAATCTTGGACAAATTTATTTGACCTGCTTGAACTGTGGTTTCCTCTTGTAAATGAATGATGTTGAACAGAATCACTTTGACTTGAACTCAAAAGAAATCATTCATTTAACTAGCTAGGTATGAAATGTCGCATTACAGTATAACCTAATGGGAAAATAATCTGTGTATCTTCTCTTGCATACTTTTCTGAAACTCACTTAGATCATCAAAGAACAAGCAATAGGGCTCAGCAAACCAACTATTGACTTAGGTTTATTATTCAGAAAGAATTTCTAGGAGGGTCAGAGCATGTCTGATCACTCTGAGCCCTATCTTGAGTTCCTGCATCAATAAGCTGGCTTACCTTATGGAATCCCCATCCCTGAATTTTTTTGAAAATCAGGGGGCTTATGTATCCAATTCTTTCTGCTCACAGGAAGGCAGAAGCTCCTATAACCACCCAGAATGTGCTCTGAACATGTACCTTCTTAGCGAATACTAATTAAGTATCTTGTTTGGGATGGGAAAAGGCTTAGGGTACCAAAATAACCAGTATTTTCAGGAAATTTGACAAGGAAACCCAAATAATTTTGCCGTGGAAGAGACCCTCATAATATATCAACAGGAGGTATTCCTAACTAGAAATATTTGATTTACCTCACATAGATATAAACAAACTAGATTAATAACTTAAGCAAAAATTATTTTGAATTGGGTCTTAAAAGATTGTGTTATCTTAAGATTGCTTTGGGGTTGATTATTGATTAATTATCTTGCTGTCTAAGGAGACATAATTGAGGAAATGGAAGTGTATAAAAGAGAAAGAGAAGCTATATGCTTGTTATATATTATTTAATTCTCACAACAGCTTGAGACATGAATTGTTATCTTCTTTTACAGAGGAGGAAACCAATACTCAGAGTGTTTAAATAGCTAGTAAGTAGGAGCACTAGAATTCTAACTTAGACATTTCTGGTTCCAAAGCCTATGATCTTCCTTACAATAAGTATAATTATTTTATATCTACTACTAAAGAAAATCCAGGCCAAAGTAGTTACAACGGGAAAGTTTAGGAAAGAAAAATTAATCTTTATATTTCCATGGAGCAGTAAGCATACTTGGCATGTGAGGGTTAACCTGTGAGCCTGGGTTAACCTGTGCCATGTGCCCTGAGGCCTTCTTTCCCCTGCTCTAGGTCTGTCAATTTACCCTGTACTAGTCTAGTGAACTTGAACCTCAGCCTCTCTTCTCTTCAACTCCTCTCACTTCTGATTCTAGCTCCTGACTGCTACTTTGTAAATTGTGTTCCTTTATGTCTGATACACAGCTGGCACCTGATACATATTTACTGAATGAATGAATGAAACAAACGAGCATGGTGCTACTACCCCTTGTATCCTGATCTGACTCTGATTCCAGACTATTCCTTTGTTGATGATAGGCAGTGTGCAGTAAAAAACACTTTGGAATTCAGAAGGAACAAGGTTTGAATCTTGCTCTGCCACTTAGCTTCATAACCTTGCATACATCGCTTAATTTCTCCAAACCTCAGCTTCTCCATCTGTAAAAACCTTTTAAAAACTATGTTGCAGGATTATGGTGGGAATTAGAAATTTAGAGAGATGTATATAGGTACACACATATACATAGCACCTAACACCATGCTTGACCCATAGAAGTATACAGTAGGTGCTATTGCTGTCATTGATGGTATCATTTTAAGGGTCTTGACTGGCAATTAGGATATCACTTCACCTAGCTACTAATGTCTTGGCCAGAGTCTGAGTGCCATAATTCTCTGACAGACATAAAGTCTATACCACAGTGGAAAACCTTTCTGAAGGCAATGCAGGATCAGGAAAATGTGGATGTGGTTGTGTTTCAGCTCCTGCTCTGGTACCTTGTAAGTCTGAAGAGTTAAAATAGGCATCTACTGTAACTTTATAAGTGGATCTGAAACTAAAACCTAGCAAATAATAAAGACTAGGTAAGTTGTAACTTATTACTGTTAAAACTTTTAAGTGCCCCTGAAATTTACAAAATGTACATTTTGTGTGTCTCACAAGAAATTAGCATTATAAATAGGATAAATTGTGATTTGGTGTGTGGGGGGGGTTGTTCGTTTGTTTACTCTTAATTTCTCATTTCACTCTGGCTTCCTACATGAAAGACACTCCATTTTGATATTACCTTTGCTTTGAAAACACCTATAAAACTTGAAGGGCTCAGAGTGTTTCTTTTAAAGTAAAGCTATGCATTTATTAAGCCTTGTAGAAGCCCTCCAGGAGTGAGCCTCTACATACCCTCTACTAAACTTTTAGGATAAATAATTCCCCCTGTGCTTTGAAGTGAGGAAATCCTGAAGTTTTCTAAGCTTTCTATACTGTTGTTATTATGAAAGCACAGTCTCCAAAATAATTATTTAGGCCATATGGTAATTTTAATCCAGGTTTTCCTCAGAGTACTGCAGTAAAATTTTTCCTGAAAGTAAGTGTATTTATTTCATGTTGACTAACAACTTAAACATTTTTTTTTGTCTAAGAGTATCATGTTATTCAAAATCCCATACTAAATAAATGGATTCATACCATTTAAAATACGATTTTTTTTTTTTTTTCTTTTTTTTAACTCACAGATCTAGTCCTCTGACTAGAGCCCCTGAAGAATCACTGGGAAAGCTGACAATCTGGGAGCACCATTCCCAGACACTCTTACTCTCTATCCCATCCTCATGCTAGGCTGCTTTATGAAAGTGTTTAGAAATGGCTCCTCCGTGTGTGTGTGTCCTGTTATATGTGTTTCTCCCCAAGTAGATATAAGTCGCATTATGGCTGTGCCTATTGCTTCTGCTGTCTGCAAGCCCTCCACAGTGAAGAGCCGGTACTTCCGCACAGTATGCCTTCCACACTGCTCGGGTGGTGTCTGTAACCCCAGGGTTTGTGAATGGCACATCCCATTTTAAAACTAAAAGTGAACTGCCAATTCCATGCATTTTATGTAGCTTGTTTTTGAGCATCAGACAAGTAATTCCATTTTGCTTTTAATTGGCACTAGGCAGACATTCTGGCTGATTTTAGATGAAACTCACATAAACTTCAGCTCCCTTTTGTCTTTATTCCCCAGGACTCTGAGAGCTTATTACAGTGGTAGGGTTGTTTCTGAAGTTGGTAAATGGAGATATTTAAATATCTTTGGTGCAACTGTGAATTTTTTTTTATCAAAGTGAAGGAGGTGTTCCCTGTCCCCAGGCACTTAGATGAATCAGCAGTAAAATGTTTGCAGTGCAGTTTGCAGTGCAATCTAAAACGTGGCCTGGGAAGAGCTCAGAGAGGTTGGGCACCGGCTAGGAAGGGAGCCTCTGCCAGCTGCAGAATGGAGATCCAGCATGTGCTAGGTTTTCACCTCTCAACACTTCTGCCCCAGTGAAAAGAAAAGGATATAGAGCATAGAACTGGGGGTCTGCATGGTTTTGCTTCTCTTTCTTTTCTATCATTGTCACTTTCTGGGTTGCTAGGTTCGTGGATTGATGTCTAACACTACCCATTGTATATTTGTGATTTGCGTTTTGTAATTAAGAGGAACAATGGGAGTCCATTGGGTCTCGTTATATATAATGGTTGGTTTAATTTGTTTCGCTTCTATCTTGTTAATTGTAAATTGATCATTAAGATTTGAATTCTAATCTGTCACCAGGGTTGTGGGTATTGAGGCTAGAGCAATGATCCTGGCTTTAATCACTGATGATGAGAAACAAATTTTATAATTTTGGTACATATTGCAGTTCATATATTTTAACACTGTATTTTATGGTGTTATAAATATTGTTAAATGACTTTTAGTGTAGTTTTACTGTGTGGACTATAATGTATAAATTATATTACTGTTTTGGCAACAGTAGGTATCCAACTGTGTGAGTTTAATTGAAGTAAAGAACACATACCCGGTTGAACTATTTTTTTTTCCCTGGCATGTTCAGATGATGTTAGTTTGGGATGCTACAAAAATTATATTCTACAAGAAGAAACTGATATTGTCCTCTGCTAATTATTACCGAAAGTTGAATGAGACTCTAAAAGAGTAAAAAATTAAGGGGTCATGTTTTTCCTTAAAAAGCAATTATCACTGTAATCCTAATTATTGTAGTAAAATATTATACTTCATGAAAATGTAATTACACAGTATAACTGGTATATAAAAATGCAGTGAGAAGTTCATGCTTCTGTAAAGGCAGAAATTACCTAAATTTTCTATGAAAATGGATTAGAATCAATTTTCTTTTTATATGACACTAGGATAATCATGCCACAAATGTAATCTCAAGCTAACATAGAAGCTCGTAAGTTTACTCTTTGAACTTTGTAAACTGCTAGTTCTTTCAATATATCATGGACTCTAGACAGATAAAAGATGATGTCCATGTACATATACCAAATTTTTATTGAACATTGGAAGTTGGTAGGCAAATTACTATTGTAAACAAAGAAAAGCGTACACATAAAATATGCAAAGCAGAAAAGTACTGTAGCAATAAAGTACTTGATAATAATATGTACTTTACAATTAACATTTATATTTTTGAAATTCTGTATATAAGATATCCTCAATATAGGGCATTTGGTTATAAATGCAAAGAAGAATTAAAGAAAAAAATTTCCTGTAACATTACCATCCAGCTAACTATGTTTAACTTTTGACATGTTTACTTTCAGTCATTTTCCATGTGTAGGTAAATGTGTATGTTACCATACATTTATATTGTGAGTGATATACATATGTGTGTGTGTGTGTATATATATATATATATATATATATATATATATATATATATATATATAGTTTTACATCCTACTTTTTTTACTTAATATTATCTGATGAACACTTTTCTACATCAGTAACTACTCAGGAAACATAATTTTAGTTGAATCATTTGTATGAATAATAATTCATCAGAATTTTAAACTCTTTTAAAATGTAATGAATAATATAATAATAATTTTATACATAAATCTGAATTTTTTCATGATTTTCTTAGTTGAGATGTCTAAAAGGGGATTGCTGGTCCAAAGACTGTGAACCCTGTTAAGGCTGTTAATGTGTATGACTTTGCTCAAGTACTGCACTAAATTCTGCTCAGTATATATGTGCACATAGCAGTTTGTGACAAAAGAAGTGAGAGGTTTTTCAAAAAAGGAGTTGAGGGGCCATGTTGCACAGTGGGTGGGACAACCCCTTTAGAGTTGGACAGACCAATGTTTGTGTCTGGGCTTGGGTAATCACCATTTAGGTGACCTTAGGCGAATTATTAAACCTCATATTTACCTCCCAGAGAAAAGGGAATAAACACTTACCTTGTAGAATTAATTGAGATTATAATGTAAAGGATGAATTCCACTACCTAGTGTAGTGTAGGCGTACAGTAAATGTTTTATTAGGCATTTCTTTGAATAATAGGGAAATTGAATGTTTTATAAATGTTTATTGATCATTTATGTTTCTTCCTCTGTATTTTTCATATCCCTTGTACTTTTTTAATTGGAATTTTGATGAAGAGTGGGGATAGCAGTTTATTATATAATGCTTCTAATATTCATTTGTCTCATTTTTTACGTTCCCTTTTTTTAATTTCGAAAAATTTGTTCCCAGTTCTTTTTATTTCTTAAGAATTTTTTCAAAATCAAGGTGACTTTATTTTTTGTTTTAAATATTACAATACATGTCCATTGTAAAAATTCAGAAAATACAGAAAAGGAAAAAAAAATATTTTATATTTCTAATCTGGACACCAAGAGATAATCAATATTAATATGTGGAATACATGTCAAAATATTTTTTATTTTATAAAATAAAATTACCTTATGCTGATTTTTAATATTTTCCTTTTTTACCAATATGTCATATTTTTAGGTCAATATATAACACCAATAAATAGCCATATTATCAGAATAGCATCTTGATATTTCTTTTTTAAAGTAATGTAACTAATCATCTGTTGATACATTTCTGGGTTAAGTTTTCATATGTTGGGTTGCAGAGCAAGATTGTTTCTACAAGGAACATGCTCATAAAAACATGATTTTGTTGTATGTAAAAGCTTTATATTCTTATATTGTAAAATCTATGTTTCCTTCGTGACTTTTCAAAAGTGACTTGTTTTTCTGGGAAAGTACCTGAGAACAGATAAATATTCTTATGCATTTTTTTCTAATGCAGTTTAAGGATATTTTTGGGCCTTTTGGAATTTTAGTGCATAGTGCATATTGTGATAGGAAATACTAATCGTGGAAGAATACTAAATTAAAAATTTCATATAACTGCTCCTAAATTCTTTTATATTGTATGTGATTTTGAAAGGATAGACATAGTCATTATTTACTTATTTAGACTATTTCAAATATAAGTAAATTCTTATTAGAAGAAGTAAATATAGATTGAGTGCTTAATCTGAGCTTGAAAATGAGATAATCCATGCCCTTGTGTGTAATCTGTAATCTAGCAAGAAGGATGAGGCACAGAGCACAATTCACAGGAATAAATTATAAGCTAATGTATGCATAAAAGCTAAAGGTAGTTTCAAAAAATGTGCTGGCATACTGAGAACTGCAGGTATTAATCAGAGCAAGCTTTCTTCGAGGTGAAACTTGAACCAAGGTGAAAACAAAATGAGGAATGAGGTGAACTAAAAGCGAGCGATCGCTTCATGCCATGTGAAGCAGCTTGGTCCTTGGGATAAATTCCCTTAGCAAATCCAAATCTTTCCCAGGAAAAAAAAAAAAAAAAAAGTCTATGTCACCTAATGGAGGAATCCTTTCTTTGGAGGGAAATAATTTTACATCAAGCATCTCACATAAACCTCAAGAAACGAACCAGTTGTTAACTACTTGTATTTTAATGTGCACGACTTCTAAGCTTTCAGTTCTAACCTATGAGGCAGTGGAGTATGAGGAGATGGTGGAGTAAGGAGTAATGTTTAATTAAATCAAGGACAAAGTACAATTTTTCTTGGACAGATGTCTCTCTTAGCTTCAAATTTTAAGCCTTGAAATGGCCATCCAAGACACTGAAGAAGTAATGTTATTTCCTGACAAACACCAATCATCACCAAAGTAGATAGATATCTGTAATCCCAAATGAAATAATGTGAAAACAGAAAGAAAATTGGGGGAATGGTACCTCACTTAGCAAATGGAGGAAGGTGAGTCTTAAATGTCTGCAGACAGGGATACTTGTATGTGAAGCAAGCTGATCTGCTCTCAGGATCCCAGAAAGACTTAGAAGGCAGGAGTGGAATATAGGACTGAAGCCAAAGTTGACAGTTCTACCCCCACCCCATGCAGCCAGGTGACTATCCCTCCTCCACCCATAAAACTAGGAGCTTCCCCTCTGAAGAGATTAAACCAGCAGGCACTGGTGAAAATAGCTGCACTGAAATTAGAATAGAGGAATTAATTAAAAGTCTACATTCTGAAAAGTGAGTACACCACCCCTCTATTTCCAACCAGCTCCTAGACCACTGATGGTTAGGGTTGTACACAACAAGCAGGAAAATGGAGAATCCTTCTTTTGAGAAACAGAATGGCCACGGGGGAAAGAATTACGGATGCTGATAATATTGGGAATGTCCCATCAGAAAAGATGGCTTGCCACTCAATCATTCTACACTAAAGCCCACTTGTTTAGGGAAAATAAATGTACACAAATGCATGTGTAACCATAATATACTCCTTAAACAACAAGGACCAATATTTATGTAGTTGTTATGACATAAAACTGATACTGATTTAACTACAAACTGAAATATTAGTAATTACATTGACAAGCTGGAGGTGGAGTCAGGGGGCAGAGAACCATTTTTTTTTTTGCAGTGCGCGGGCCTCTCACTGTTGTAGCCTCTCCCATTGCGGAGCACAGGCCCTGGACGCGCAGGCCATTCCGCTCACAGGCCTAGCCGCTCCATGGCATGTGGGATCTTCCCGGACCGGGGCACGAACCTGTGTCCCCTGCATCAGCAGGCAGACTCTCAACCACTGCGCCACCAGGGAAGCCTCACCATTTTTTAAAACTATATGATTTTAATCATGTACCATTAAATTAGCTATGTTAATTAAAAGAAACAACTCTCTGTCAGAAATTAGGCCTGGGGTTGTTCCTGTAACAGCATGGTAGCTGGCCTGTAATAGATACTTACTAAATATTTGGTAAATTAATAGCTGTCTTTTTAAAAACGGGATTTGATTATTATCATTTTTGTCTTGTTCCTTGAAAAAACTCTCTCTGTTGAAGTTGTTATTCCTTTTTCTGTCTACCAGTTGAGTTCCTGCAGTGTGTATATCCTTCTACTAGACATTCTGTAATTTCTGAAATATTTTATTTTACATAAAATAATTTTTATTGACACTGTTATGTTTAAGTACAGAGTTCAAGAAAGTGATAAGATTATACAATAAAAACATGCTCTGGTAATAAGAACCTTTAACATCAGTCACTTCTGTGTTTACACCTCTCTAGATCTGAAATAGCTCAGCTCAGTCAAGAAAAAAGGTATACATGTGACAAACTGGAAAAGTTACAGAGAAGAAATGATGAATTGGAGGAACAGTGTGTCCAGCATGGGAGACTACATGAGATAATGAAGCAAAGGTAATAAAGACTTAATAATCAACTGATGTGCCACATATTGAATGTGTTTGGTTCAAAAACAGAATGGGAATTGCTGTGGAATAAATAGAATTCATGGTTACTATGGTACTCAAGGAACATGCTTAAAATCTAATATTTCTATATATTTATGCTTTCTCAATTTAGGTTGTTCTTATAATGCACAGAGAGGAGAGCACATTCCCTCTTTACTGTTCTCTAAAGACACAGAAGTAGATTTAATATAGAACACTGTAGGAAAACCATCTACCTTTAAGGTGCAAGCTGGTAATGTAACATGCAGGAATTTCAAAACTTCTCTTCTAGAAATTAGGTTTTGTATGTATTTTTGTAAGATACAACATGTAAGGCCTAAGAAGGTTAAATATATTGCTAGAGTCAGAATTTGACTCCAGACCCTTTGGTTCTTTCTAGTGGTGTACTTTGAGCAAGTTACTTAACCTCTCTGAGCATCAGTTTCTTCATCTATATATTGGAGCTAACAATAGCCACTTTGCACTTTGGTATAAAGATCAAATATAATATATGTAAAGCACCTGGCTCATAATAGCCACCTACTAAATGGAATCAATATTTACTCTCTTTTTCTAGATGGAGAAGCTCAAGCTGAGAGATACTAATGTATTTGCTCAAAGTGCCATATTGAGTAAGTTGGTAGAGTTCAAACTTGAATCATGATCTTTTGATTCCAAATTCCTTTCCTTTTTTGTGCAGTATTTTTTTGTGTGTGAAAAACACAGTCCCTTATATTTACTATAAATGTGTCACTCCTAATTTCTATATAGTGATGAATTACCGAGGAAAAAAAATCTCAGCAATCACATACATAACAGCAGTTAACCTTCCAGTGGAGGTAGTTTTCTTGGCATCCATCTCCCCGTTTCTATCCCATCCCCAGACACCCCAGGCCTACTCTGTTTCAAAATCAATTGTTCATATAACTGAGGGGAAAAGAAAATATTTAAATACTCCCTTTATCATTATTTTTTAATTTAAAGTAAACATAGAGTCCCTCGGCAGGGGCAGGAGGAATGTTTATAAATTTGATCACTTTCTCTATTGAAGAGAAGAAAGGTAGTCAGAAAATGACACCAAAATATTAAAATATGAGTATATTTATAAAGAATTAATCAGTCATTTATTTTCTAAGCCAGAGATCAGCAAACTATTTCTGTAAAGGACCAGAGAGTAAAATATTTTAGGCTTCCTGGGCCATGAGTAGTCTCTGTCACGTAGTCTTTGTTTTGTTTTTCTTTACAGCCCTTTAAAAAGACAAAAACCATTCTTAGCTAGAAGCCCAACAAAATGAGTGAAAAGATTTGGACCTTGGGCTATAATTTGCTCCTGTACTATGCAACCAACTCATCTTTCTAATATTTCTTTTCTTAGATCTGTATATTGTTTTAGAGTTCACAAAATTCACCTCACACATGTTTCCTTACCTGAAACAAACCTGGGAAGTAGTTGTTATTATCATCTTCCTTTCCAGGTGGAAAACTAAGGCTCAGAAAGATAAAGTTGCCAACTGAAGGTCAGATAGTAAATTAATCATTCATTCATTGATATGAATGATAGTAAATTCATTCATTCAACAAATATTTATTGATTGCTACCATGTGTCATGTTCTCCGCCACATGCTGGGAATAAAATAGCAAAGTAAATATAATTCCTAGTCTAATGGAGTTTACAGCCTTATAGGGAAGATAGATATTGACAAGAAAATTTCACAGATATCTAATTAATTGCAGTAATGATTAGTTATATGAAAACGAAATATACTTTGTGATATAAGCACATTTAATAAGGTGACTTACCCTGATCAGAAGAAGTTTCAATGAAAAAAATGACACTTGAAATGAATCTGTGAGTGGCAATATAGGGATTATTAGTCCTAGGGCAGGAGCTGGCAAATTGTACCCCAGCCCAAGCCCACTTTGTATGGCTCAAGAACATAGTCATGCTCATTTGTTTACATGTTATCTGTGGCTCCTTTCACCCTACAATGAGTAGGTGAGTCAAAGACTGGCCTATTGGCTCACAAAGCCTAAAATATTTACTATCTCGCCCTCTCCTAAAAAAGTTTGCCAGCTCCTCTTCTAGAGAAAAGAAAACTGTAAATTGAAGGTCCTGAGATAGGACTTTTAAAGAAGGAAAGAAACTGTGTTTAACATAAAGAATAATGGAAAAAATAGCATGTGGTGAGGTTGGAGAGGCAGGTGAGGGCCGGATAAAGACAAGGGCTTTAAGTTTTTATTGTAGACCTTTCACTTTATCCTTTTACTAAAAGGAAGATATTAAAAGATTTTTAAAAAAACAAAGGAGAATTATGTGATCAAATTTGCATTTTAAAAATAGCATTCCAGCTCCAGAGTAGATAATGGATTGGAGCAGAGCCATGGTGTTTACACAAGACCAGTTAGGGAGCTAGTAGAGCAGTTAGTCAAGTGATGATGATGGCTTAGATTGAACTGATAATAATGATGCTAGAAGTAAACAGATTGGTGAAATATATAGGAGGTGAAATCAACAGGACTTAATGACTGATTGGCTATGTTGGGTAGAGAATAGTGCATATCCATATTTCTGACATGAGCAATACGTACATAGTGGTAGTACTTAGTGAGAATAGAAAGTACACAAAATAAGAAGGTTTGTGGTTGAGATGGCCTGGGTTTGGGATAAGATCAAGTGTTAGGTTTCGACCCTGTTGAATTTAATGTTCAAGAGCATTGTACAAATGGGTATGTTGAATAAGCATGGAGACACAAGGGACTAAGCTCAGGAGTGAGGACTGGGCTGGAGATAGAAATCCCCACTGGCTTACAGAGAATATTAGAAACCTTGGGAGTAAATGAGGTCACCTAGAGAAATAAAGTGAGAAGGAAGATGGGCTTACTGAATCCTAAAGAACATCAAAAGTTTTAAAGGTAAGGTAACCTGAGAAATAAGTAGAAACTGAAAAGGCTTGTTATCATGCATGCCGACAGATGGAAATACTTCAGGAAAGAGGAGGTGATCTACCAGATGCTGCTGAGTGATTAAATAAGACTGAAAAGTATCCATTGGACTTAGTGACATGGACAGCACTGGTTATGTTAACAAAAATATTTGTACTGGAAGAGTGGGTACAGAAATCATATAATATGGATTGAAAACAGTGTGAGTTGAAAAATTGAAATAGCAAATTTAAACCACTTTTTCATAAGATTTGGGTGCACAGAAAAGAGGGAAGCAAGAGAAAGCAAGAGACAGACCAACCAACTGGTGGTGGGTAGACGTATTGGGAGGGGCATTTTGGAAAAGAGAATTTTTTGAGTTGTAGTAGATGTGAACTTATTAAATTCTGATTGTCAAGATTATTAAAGTTATAAAGTCAGGAAAGTTACATTTTCCAGCTGGTAGTTTGGAACCCCTGGTGTCCACAAAGGCAGACCAGGGAATTCAGGCTAAAGATAGCAATGGTATTTCTTTCTAGTTATATTTTAAAATAAGTATTGATTCATATATTTCTCCGTAGAAAGTAGAACCGCGTGAGAACTCCACAGTGTATACAGAGGGAGCAAGCCCTCGAGCTAGTGGAAATGGGCTGAACGCACTCATGTGTTCTCATGTGATTTAGTATTATGTCACCAACCCCCAGAAATCCTGGTTGTTTTTTTGGTTATACACTTTCACATTTTTTAAAAATTTCTTATGGTAGTGTATTGTTTAAATTATATACATAAAAACCATTGAATGGGGACTTCCCTAGTGACAGTGGTTAAGAATCCGCCTGTCAATGCAGGAGACACGGGTTCGATCCCTGGTCCGGGAAGATCCCACATGCTGTGGAGCAACTAAGCCCGTGTGCCACAACTACTGAGCCTGCACTCTAGAGCCCATGAGCACTGAGCCCGTGTACCACAACTACTGAAGCCCGTGTGCCTAGAACCCGTGCTCCACAACAAGAGAAGCCCATGCACAGCAATGAAGAGTAGCCCTGGCTCACTGCAACTAGAGGAAAGCCCACGAACAGCAATGAAGACCCAACACAGCCAAAAGAAAAAAAAAAAGATAATAATAATTAATAAATAAATAATTTAAAAAAACATTGAACGATGACATGAAGCTGCTGACTGAAATGTAACAAACTAATTATTAATTTAGAACTGGTAATTCTTTTATAAACTGCCTCACAATGATCTTTAACAAATCTGTAAGCTGTATTTTTCTAATAGAAATTTTATTCCTTGAAAACTAGGGTTAAAAATAAGAAGTAAAATATTGATTTTTATCTAATTCAACATTAAATTTTGGAGGACTGTTCATTATTTTCTGAGAAGTGCTCGAAAAAACAAAATATTGGCAAATAGAATCCAACAGCATTTAAAAAGAATTACACACCACAGTCAAGTAGGATTTATTCTAAGTATGCAAGTCTGGTTCATTATTTGAAAATTAAATGTAATCTATCACATCAATAAGCTAAAAAAGAAAAATTGCATGATCACATTAATAGATGCAGAAAAAGCTTTTGACAAAATCCAAACACATTCATGATTTTAAAAAACTCTCAGTAAACTAGAAATAGAGGGAAACTTTCTCAACTTGATAAAGAATATCAAAAAAGAAACCCTACAGCTAACATTATACTTAATGGTGAGAAACTCAAAGCTTTCCCCATTGATCAGGTGTAAGTCAAGATTATTCCCTTTTACCCATCCTTTTCAACATCATACTGGAAGTAATGCAATAAGACAAGAAAAGGAAATAAAAGGTATAAAGACTGGGAGGGAAGAGGAAAAAAAACCTTTCTTGATTGCAAGATGACATGATCATCTATGTAGAAAATCTGAAAGAATTGATGAAAAATTCTTGGAACTAAAAAGCAATTATGGCAAGTTGCAAGGTACAAGGTTAATATCTGAAAGTTATTTGCTTTCCTATATACCAGCAATGAACAAGTGGAATTTGAAATTAAAAACACAATACCGTTTACATTAGCCCCCCTAAAATGAAAAGTTTTGGTATAAATCTAACAAATTATGTACAAGATCTAGATGTAGAAAACTATAAAACTCTGATGAATAAAATTAAAGAAGAACTAATAAATAGAGAGATATTCAGGTTAATGGTTAAGAAGACTCAGTATCAAAGGAGGTCAAGACGGTGGAGGAGTAGGAGGATATGGAGTTCATCTCTCCCCACAGATGCATCAAGAATACATCTACAGGGCTTCCCTGGTGGCTCAGTGGTTGAGAGTCCGCCTGCCAACTCAGGGGACATGGGTTCGTGCCCTGGTCTGGGAAGATCCCACATGCCGTGGAGCGGCTGGGCCCGTGAGCCATGGCCACTGAACCTGCGCGTCCGGAGCCTGTGCTCCACAGTGGGAGAGGCCACAGCAGTGAGAGGCCCGCGTACCGCAAAAAAAAAAGAATACATCTACAAATGGAACAAGTCTCACAGAGCACTGGCTGAACACTGGCAGAGGACCTTGGACACCAAAAAGGACAAGAAAGATCCCCCATAACCTGGTAGGATGAAAGAAAGAAGAAGGGGGAAAGAAGAGGAGAGGAAGCTGGACGTGAACGACAGCCCTGGGGTGGAGCTTGAGGAGAGGAGAGGTTCCTGCATCTGGAGAAGCCCCCTCACTGGTGGAGAGATCAGTTGGGACAGAACGGGAGCTTTGGGGCTATCAGAAGAGAGTGCAGCAACTGTTCTGTGGCAGGTAAGACAGAGTGAGACCTACACAGATTGTTCGTGCCACAGTCCTGTGTGCCCCTGCCCTAGATGTGTCCCTGGTGAGGATGGGGGCTGCGTGCTGGAATGTGGTGTTTGGAGAGCAAACCTGGGTAGAGGACTGGTGTTGGCTATAAGGAGACAGCCTGAGGGGACAGGAGTGAGGACATTGCAACCAGGAATGCCTGTGGAGGAAACCCAGGCTGCCATAGAAGCAAAGCACCATTGTTAAGTGATGTGTAAGGGGCAGAGCTGCCATTGCAGGCTCTTTCCCCATGTGCCACTCCTGCCTCCCTGGGCACTAGGAAGGGCCCCTGCTGGGGCCAGCCCTCTTGAGCCAGCAGCCGGGTACAAGGAGGGGCCCCTGCCAGGGCTAGCCTCTTGTGCAGGGGGCCAGGCATTAGGAGGGGCCCCCACCAGGGCCGGTTCTATCACGCTGGCAGCCAGGCACTGGGGGACCCCTCTGGGGCCTGCTCTCTCCTGCCTGTGGCTGGGTGCTAGGAGGCCCCCCCACCACAAGGTCTCTTGTGCCCGCGATGGCTGGTTCCCTCACATGCCTTGTCACCACCGGGGCCAGCTTCCCCACATGCCTCATCAACACTAGGGCTGGCTCGCCCACGCCTGTGGCTGGGTATTAGGAAGAGCCCCCACTGGGGCTGACTCTCTTGTGCCTGCAGCCACCAGCTCCCCCTAATGCCTGTTGCTGCCAGGGGTCCTGTGACCCCAGCCACCGTGCTGCTGCCACAACCCCTGCTTGCCGGGGTGGACTCCTGTGCTCCAGGGCAGCCTTGACAGCAGACCCCTATGGGTGGCCCACAAGCAGAGGTGGGACTGAAACCACAACTGAGCCCTAGGGGCCATGCAACTAAGAAAGAAAAGCTGAAACCTCTCCACACAGCTGTTCAAACCATGAATTGACAATGCGGTGACTGGCTTTGTAAACTCAGTGCCTACAGAACATCTGAATGAACAGCCAGTGCTCCTGCAACCAAGATGGACCTAGCTTTAGCAGCTGTAGATTTTGTCGGCACATACACATGGGGGTTGGGCCAGACTAGAGTCAGAGCTGCCCCCATAGCACCCATAGTGGGTCCAATCCATGATTACTACAATCCTGGGACCTGATTTAAGTGGATCTATGCAGGTGGCCTGGTGAAAACAACGTCTGAGAGACACCAGGGCCAACTGCCGGCATACCCACAGTTAAGGTGGGGCCTAGAGCAGTGCCAACAACAGTGTAAGAGAGCTCGCACAACAGGTGAAAAGTGACATAACAGAGCACAGCCACAGGTGAACAGGTCCAGAGGAGGAATACTCAGAGGCTTCCCTCCCAGTGGGAGTACTCCAATCCTACCTACCTCACACCGCAGATCAGAAACACAGCTAAGAAACAGATCTGAGGGCCTCTACTCCAACAACTAGGGAGCAGACCCCATGTCTGACAGGGCAGTGACAAGCACAGAGCAAAGGGGAGGCCCTGCTCAATATCCAGTGCTGGCTCTGTTCAGCACAACATCAGTCACACCTCCTGTAAAGGGGATAATGGCCAGCATACACTGAGGAAGAGGTGGCAAACATCTATACTAAAAACAACCCTCACACCAAAAAATATTAAACCCATGCAGGCTACATAGGGACATTTCCACATAAATAGCCCTCCAAGACAGTCTGAGGGTCTGGAATTGGGTAGAAGAACCCCCAGGCCATTTAGCCATGAGGGCCAGCAGGGCTTGAGTGCAGGAACTCCATAGGGCTGGGAGAAACAGAGACTAAACCCTTGGATGGCACACAGAAGGTCTCACATGCACTGGGACCCGGCACAAAGCAGTACCTCAGTAGCAACCTGGGCTACACCTACCTAGAGGTCTTAGAGGGTGTCCTGGGGAGGGGAAGGTCGACTATCCGACTATCGCTCACCCACAAGGGCAAGAACACTGGTAGCAGAAGCCCCAGGGAATTGATTGGAGTGAGATCTTCTGGAGGTCCATATTTTGGCACCAAGACCCAGCCCCACCCAACAACCTGTGGCTCCAAAGCCGGAAAACCTCAGGCCAAACAACCACCAAGATGGGAATACAGCCCCACCCATCAGAAGACAGGCTGCCTAAAGTTGTACTGAGCTCACATCCACCTCAAAACACACCCCTTGATGTGGCCCTGCCCATCAGAAGGACAAGATCCAGCTGCACCCATGAGAGGGCAGGCACCAGTCTCTTCCACCAGGAAGGCTGCACAAGCCCCTGGATCAAACTCACCCACCAGGGAGCAGACACCAGAAGCAAGAGAACTACAATCCTGCAGCCTGTGGAAAGGACACCACAAACACAGAAAGTTAGACAAAATGAGATGACAGAGAAATATGTTACAAAAGAAGGAACAAGATAAAAACCCACAAGAACAACTAAATGAAGAGGAGATAGGCAATCTACCTGAAAAAGAATTCAGAGTAATGATAGTAAAGATGATCCAAAATCTTTGAAAAAGAGTGGAGGGATAGATCAAGAAGATACAAGAAATGTTTAACAAGGAGCTAGAAGATTTAAAGTACAAACAAACAGATGAACAATACAATAACTGAAATGAAAAATGCAGTAGAAGGAATCAATAGCAGAATAACTGAGGCAGAAGAATGAATAAGTGAGGTGGAAGACATAGTGGTGGAAATCACTGCCACAGAACAGAATAAAGAAAAAGGAATGAAAAGAAATGAGGACAGTCTCAGAGATCTCCGGGATAATAATAAGCACACCAACATTCTCATTATAGGGGTACCAGAAGGAGAAGAGAAAGAGAAAGAGCCTGAGAAAATAATTGAAGATATTTTAGCCATAAAATTCCCTAACATGAGAAAGGAAGCACTCACTAAGTCCAGGAAGCACAGAGAATCCCACACTGGATGAACCCAAGGAGGAACATGCCAAGACACATATTAATCAAACTGGCAAAAATTAAAGACAAAGGAAAACTGTTAAAAGCAACAAGGGAAAAGCAACAAATAACATATGAGGGAATCCTGATTATTATTA